GGCCCTCCTGTTAGGGCTCACGAGCCAACTATAACCGAAGCAGGTGCTCAGTTCTTCCGAGTTTGTCAAACCTCTATCAGTAGGACAATTCGCAACATGTTCAACTCTTTGATGACGTACATCAGTGGCACCGAGGACAAGAAGGACGTCCAGATGGCTCTGGTTATCTTCTTGGTGCTGATCGCGGGACTGATCATGTTTGGTCTCAGCGACAGCAGGACGATCCACCATCACCACTGGGAGTTCTTCAACCCACCTGACGGAAAACCATGATTTTACAAGACATTGGCTCACTGTACAGAATTATTTTATTGTTAGAATCTTAGATAATAATGTAGGTAAGTACAGTGGGCCACAGTTCCAGCTACCCATTTCCGTTTTTTCTCTCGTTCTCATCAAATGGCAATTTTTTGTGATAGAACGAGACAACATGACCGGAAAAGGTTGCTGGAACTGTGGCCTATAGTACATAAAAAATATAATCCCATAGCTCTGGATCAAATTATTAAATTGTCATGCAAATTGTTGTCAAAGATTGTACCGCAATTTTTCACACAATGATCTTACCTAAATCTAAAGTTTGTATAGAAAAATAATAAAGTGTTTATTAAAATAACTGTAAGATAATTCGACACTTTGGGAAAAATGCATTTTTGCAAACCAGACTTTCCACTACAGTTTATAAAGTTGTCAATAAACTTGATTTATTGTATAATGCATTAAATAATATTTAATTATTGTAATTAGGGATAATGTAAGCTATATTTTTTTCGTCAATGAAGACACTGTACTTTGTGAACTATCTTAGGCCACCGATCACATTTTCAAATTGTATTAATGAGTAAATTACAATAAAAATAACTCCCAAATTTCTCTCTATTATCAATCAGTTTTACTTATTTTGGAGAATGGCGCGTAAGAAATCTTATTTTCATTTGAATAGTCATCCTTTATTTGAAGTCGGTTAAAATACAAAACAGCCGAATTTCATATTTTAGTTACGTCCAGATTAAAATTTAAATACAATTTAATTTATTCCTTGTAAAATTATATTTGAAATTAAAACTCTTCGAACTTTTTCTAACTATCAGCCATTCTCCTTCAAGCCAATGTTTTGGTCAAATAACTTAATGTTAAATGTGATAATTTATATAAATTATTTATTGTTTTATTACCAAACTAATTTATTGTTTCAAATGTTGCCGATAGACTGCAGAAACCTCTCGGGATGGTGTTTAAATATATCGAAATGTTATTTAGTTGTATGTCCTTTCTTTATTAAATTAACCGCACTGTTGCAATAAATGTAGTGTGTCGGCTGGTGTTATGCATTTTATTAATGTTTTCTTGTGTAATTGTAATATAAAATAAAATTGTATAAAATGTTTCTGTTTATTCCTCTTAATAATACCTACCTACCTTATTTATTAGTCTACAAAATTTTATTAGTTCATTAGGTGTTAAAATTAACAGCGCGGCTAGTTATAGTTTTGAAGTTCGTATACTTCAGTAACTTAACAAAAATACTATTTAAGTTCTAATACACAAAACTATTTATTTTGGATAATGTCGGTTGGGGAACGGAATTCATGTGAAGTAAAATTTTAATAAGAGGTAGGATTAAATTCATTTGCTAACGTAAATACATATTTATATATTATTATGTATACACTTAGTCGAGTTGATCACTTGAATTTTAGCCATATCGAGTCTAGGTACCTACTTACTTACACTAATGTAGAATTGTAGATAAGTACATCAAGGTACATCCATAATAATATACTTAATATACAGGGTGTTAGGTAAATGGGTATATGAGCCGACACTAGCCCATGTTAACATGGTCATATAAAATGGGATGGTGAAGTCAGAAAATTGATTCTTCATTTTAATTATTTTAATTTTCATACAAATCGGATTTTATAATTATTTTTTTAAATATAATATTAGTGTCGAGAAGCAGTGTTTAGAGAAAAATAGTGTAAGTAACTGAGAAGGGAAGGTTCCCCCATCGCCTTTGTCATTTCTGAAAGGCCCATAGAAACTTTAGGTGGGTACATAAGTAAATACTCAGATAAAATTAAGTACGTAAGTACCTACAAAACGTAAAGCGTAGTCGAAAATTAATCATACCTTACATACATAGATTGAACTTTATAGCATAGCGGTAAGTTTGTTTTTACATTTAAGTACGAATATTAGACGACAGCACATCAGGCGTTATAAAATAATCTTATTTCAATTCAATTACCTAACTGGCACAGTCCTAAGCTTGATGAAAATCACTGTTGTGTTCAATATTGTTTTCCTAGGTTTTCATTTTTATTCGATTTCATTCAATTAGTCCCGCTACTACATGTATCCGAATTACGAAGAAAGATGTCGCTGTTATCAAGTGTCAATGTGACAGGTAATGTCATAACTGACCAAGGTCTTTTGGCCAGCGGATTTTTGGGGAAGCAAAGTTATCTTCCTTTTCATTTATTTATTTATTTAATGTTAGTTCGTGTTAACCAATAGTTTGAACGCTTTGAAAGCGGAATTACGAAAACGAGACGCAAAAATAATAGGATGATAGTTGAAAATTATAAATAATACGAGATAATGATTGACTTTAGTTAACAGCAGCGCCAACTGGTGAGCATAAAAACGATAGTAAAAAGGCATTTCTGGCACTTATTTTTGAAGTGCCCTTTGGACACAGTAACAATAAAGTAATCCGTGCTTTGGATCTCTGAAAAAGCGACAGTACCTAGATGGCGCTAGTTAGTTTGATGATATGTCCGCTGTCTTAATTGATTATGTTTTATTATTAATAGATACAACATAAAATTTAAATGCTTAAGGGCCAACTTTGCAATCTTAGTTTCATCACTAAAATAATGATTTTTTTTTGTTTAGGTATAAGATATCACATTAACACAGCTAGAGATGGGTTTCCACCCGGGTAAAAACCCACATGAGGGTGAAAACCCAATAAAAACCCGTTTCATTCCACCCGTGGGTGTTTACACCGGGTGAAAACAAAATAATTTTATAATTATTTCAATTGGTATCTTTTCTTTATTTTTATTGAATTTTTCTCATTTAAATTTATTGATTAATAAGTAATAAGTCAAATTTAACACTAATATGCATTTATATCGTGGCCAAATCGTAAAATTGAACACGTTATGATGTTGTGAACAATTATTTTATAAAATGGTGTTATTTCAAGAATCGTTGAACCGATTTAAAAGAAATTTAGTAGGAACACAATAATTTGTGATCATGGCAAGGACATGGAGGGGGGGATGCCAAAGATGCCAAACTCTCTCTTTGATGACATTACGGTATAACGTTACAAATAACAACACCAACTACAAAGTACTTCTGCTTGAAAACTTGAAATCGACCGCCCTTCCGCCACTGTAACGCATTGTAACGTTTTTCAAGACCTCCTCTCCCCCCAGATTGCATTACGTAACACTAGAACGCCCCATTAGCAACAAATACCACTTCTCACTTTAAAAAGACGCTATTTTTGTTTTCACCCACCAGAATGGGTGATAATGGGTAAAAACCGGGTTTTTACCCAAATCACCCAGTTTAAACCCAATCGGGTGAAATGGGTTTTTACCCACTACCCATCTCTAAACACAGCTGTTCTTCTTTAATTAAAAACCATCAAATTAATTAAAGAATAAGTTCTTATTAATAAACACATAAGTTTCTTAGTTCACACTTGTTTGGAAGTAACGACACAGTTTTATGTAAATTGATGTAGTTAGGCGCTATTGATGCTGTTGCCTACAGCGCCCTCCCAATTGTTTCTGTTTTTTTTCTTTTTTCCACAGATAACTTTACAAATTGGCCTATAAAACTATTTCATTGCAACAATACGCACTAAAAAATAAAAAACAAAACAAACTGAACTAGCTTCGTAAATGTGCAAATGTCAATGACAAAATTCAAAAAATGACATTAACTAAGTTCCTATTTTTTTTTTGTAAATGCTTTTAACTAATCCGACTGCGCCAGAAGAAGGGTTATATTTTTTTTATAAAAAAATTGTCTATTCATTACGAAAGTGATAAAAAAATATTGTTGCCATTAATATTTGTTGGAAGCAAGCGTCGTAAAAGGTTTAAAGTGTTGCTAGAATAAAAAATATAAAACACTTCACGGGTATTTTTACATCTGTCGCAACCTTTTAAAAAATATCTAACAATTATAGTGCAAAATTATTGATGTTTCATCTTAACTAATTTAATTTTTAACATTTGTTTTTTCTATGCCGTTTCCTAACATAGGTCATAAAGCTAAGTCTCCCTCCAGTGAGTGTTTTGTCCTGTACAAACATTCAACATTTTTTGTAGCCAATTTTGTATGAATGTTGACATGTTTTTGTGGATTGTGTAGGGCAATCTATTCGCTGGAAATCCAGCTTAACATCAAACTTTAATTTTTTTACGTTTTAGTTATTTTTCGTCGTTTAGGCACGGCACGGAATAAAAACGTTTGAGTTAATTCATCTAAATTCAGTTTGTTTTAAATCTCAGAGAACCGGTGTGGCAATACTGCATTAAAATATTACCCCCAAGCCAAGAAAAGTACTCTCCAAATTCATAATATTGTAACTGGCAATTATTATCAACTTACGTGCTGTGAACTGCTGTGTGATTAACTCATAAAAAAATGCTAAAAATATCAATAAATGTTTTTTAACATTTTGAAATGCCTCAAGATTCAATACACAATAATAATTTTTATTTAACTAAAATTAATTTATTTTTAAAAATATTCGTTGTTTCAATGAATAATGAAAAGCCTTTATTATTACGACATAAATAATCAAATAGGTTTTTGAACAAGAAAATTTCAATTTTAGTCAATAAATATTGTTTCAATAATGATTATTTTTTCTATTAAAAAAGGCGATAAATAATGCTTCAAGCTAGTATAAAATGATCATGTACATAGTTTTGCACCACAAGCGTCAGTCAGTGAAGTTGGGCGATGAGAGCTAAACGAGTAGAGCCGGGTGGACGAGCTAGACGGGCAGCAGTCCGCGGATGGCTGCGTGCCGACCTGTGTTCTGTCGCGTAGTCGTCTCTCAGACTCTCGGTTATCGGGACTTGCTCGCTTATCGCGGAGTGTTATTACTCTTGCAATAAATTCGAAGCTAAATAATTCTACTGATGTTTACAAAAATGACTTGATAAACCACGCTGAGTTGCCTCGGTCCGTGTTAACCGCGCTTCAAGATGTACCTAAAGACTTTCGATTATTCTTTTCCCAAGACAATGAGATAAATTTGTGCTGCGGCTTCTGCGAACGCTCACACCTTTGGTGTGAGCTATAAAATCAAGCACCATGAACCAATGTGGGTTTTGTTCAATGCTATCCAGTCTGCTGAGACGTGCAATGTGCGTCGGCAGCAGACGAGGCAGCAGCGAATCATACTACCGGGAGCTAGGAGACCAGGACACGCTGGTAAATATTATATTTAACTTGTTTGCTTAATAAACTAGGCTCGACTAGCTGTTTGCATGTGTTGTTCATTCATAATAATCTCGTATTTTAATTGTAAGCGACTCGACCTAAACAGTGTCAAGCCATGACACCGCTAAGCAATCAAATTGTTTACTGTGTTGGGTCGGGTGTATTTTGCTATTTTCTATCTAGTGTAGCGATAGTAAACTAGTTACGTATATTTTTTAGTATCTGAGTGCTAACGATAGCTGGTTTGAGTTTTAAGGTGTTCATAAAATAGACGTACCTACCGCCAACTTTTTACTGAAGTGAAAGTCGAAATTTCACTTGTTTTTTCTGCAAATTTTTGTTCGTGCGGGTTTACATTAGTCATTATTACGGTGGAGTATGGCTGAATTAAGTAAACCAACATTAACATGTACTAAAAGTCTAAACATTAGTGCAAATCTCACCCACAAACCAGTTATCAAGAGAAGTAGGTACTGATATCTTTGTCATTATATCTATGTACTGTTGTCCTTTAATTATTTATTTTTGGTTATGTTCATTTTCCTTGTTTGTTGTTCTAAACATCTTTGTGTAATGCTTTAATTTGCTTAATAAAACACTAGCAATGTGTATAGATTTCTAATAATTTTAGTATAACTTGTTGGAAGACTTAAATAGTTCTGAACTAGACGCTAAGCTGTATGTTCACCGCTTGCAAAGTGCCCTCTGTCTGGGATGCAGCTGCAGTTGATTTTCAACTCTATTGCTGCAAATATAGGGGGTTTTCATTGCAGACATTGCATTGGATGTTATATTTTGCATTGTTGGGTACATATGACTAACCCTTGCCGGGGCTCTGAAATTAGTGCTGCTATTTTGTCTCCTAAAGACATTATGGCTCTATGTGCACTGGTGGCTATATTTGTAAACTTGAATTAATGAATGTGATTGGATATTTGTATTGTTCTCAGTCATTATTTGCAATTTAACAGTTTGTTAATTGCAAATTTGCAATGTATTTATACATTAATTTACTAATTTCTTTAAATCTATTCTTAATTGTTGGACAATGTTGTTTTATTAAAAGTACAATATTGTTCAGTGTTATGAATTAGCTAATGTAATTTTTGATTATTTAATACATAATTACAATTATAATTTAATCACACAGAAAATTTCGTAATAACTTTGCAAACAAGCTCATACTGCTTTGAAATTCATATTTACTAATGAGCTAAAGTGGCTTACATGTTTTTCATACAATCAAAAAATGTTACATAAATACTGTCAGGTATCTTAGTTGCTTATTAGAAAGTCTACAAAAATTTATATTTAATGAGATTATAATGAAAATGTATTTAAGTAAAAAGTAAGAAATGGATTTTTATATAAATATAATCAAAAGTTAATGCATAACCAACATAAAAGCAATAATTTACTTAATGAGTCTTTTTATATAATTTAAGCTGTATGTTTGTAAATGATTAAGATAAAAAATACCATTAAATATATGAAAATAAGTATTTAAAAAAATATCCGCTTGACCTCTAATCATTTTGGCCAGGAATATTAAAGATTCTTCAAATTTTACTATTTTGAAAGAACCCAAATGATTAAATTAAAATATTAATTAATTAAAAAACATTATCAATAAATTATACATATAATACCAAGAAACTATTTTTATTTACATTTAATATTTCATAAATTATATTATCATATCTGTACAACCAATTATACCTAACAACTGCACTGTTTTTATTTAGGTAGATATTTAAACCTTATTCTTCCTGATACACTTCATTAATAATTAAACTAAATAATTTATATATTAATTATTATTTTTTGATATATTATTAAAAAATGGTGAAGCCTATATTTTAATGAATTTGTAGCTAATGTAGTCTACATTGACAAAAGTAATATGCTCAAATGAAATTTTTAATGAACCAAAATTGATTTAATGTTTGGCTGATAAAATATTTAATTTAAATAATTTACTTAGTTTATCATCTGTTAGTTATTAAAATTGTAAAGAATTATTTTTTTATAGTGCATTTTTTTCTAAGTTCATGATTACTTATTCAATGAGTAACTAACTATATACAGGGTGTTTGGCGGAACCAAACACCCTGTCATAATAATAAGAAGTAAATTATCAAAAACAAAATAAACTGTAAAGTTTTAGAGCGAATATTTCGTGACGTCACCACTAGATCAGCTTTAGGTCCGTGTCATTTAGGGTGGCGCGCTATTTATTAGGTTTGTGCATTAAATGGGGGTTAAACGGATTTAAGCGAATTGATTCCACTTTAAACAGATAGTTATTTATTAGTTTTACAAAAAATAACGATATAGGTACGTAACAGTGAGATATAATAAAATAACAAAATACAGTATTCTTCACACCCTGGGGTGGTAGGTAGGTGGTAGTTGTTGCAGTGTATAAACTCGTAAAGGTATGAATATTGATTTTAAAATATTTTAACAGTTTATTGAACTCAAAGACAACCTAACCACAAGTTTCTAAAAGTAAAAGAAAATAGCGGGCCATTACGTAGTATAGTTGACAAGAAAATAAAGCTAGGAACTATAAAAGTTAGAGATAACAAAGCGGGAATGCTGGCAGTTCGTAAGGAAACAAATGCATTGGGGCACACACTTACGTCTCATACGGCACACATACATGGCAGCTTATAAATGAAAGAAGACTATTGTTTTTTTTTTCATCTTGTAAATTAATCAATGGAATCAATAAACGTAACTATTAATCCTGTAAATTCCTGTGTAAAACAAGACAATTATTCTGATATTATTACTTTTGACGACTTCGAATCGAAACCACTCTAAAAATTCATGCTCCAGATCCAGAACTAAATGAGTGCATTTTGATATCAATTTAAAATGTTAGTGCCCTTTCTTAACACTCAAAATTCTGTTTTTTTTGCCTCAACATACATATTGTTCACTAGAAAAAAATCACTGATATTTCTATTCTCGATCCTAAAACACCCTCTTAGAGACGAAACGTAAAGTCTATAATGCGTAAGCACAATACACTGAAGTCACTGAGTGTAGACAATCAAATGAATGAAATTAATTACTGTAGCACACCAATTACCTAATCTCAAACTGCCATTAACGGCGGCGCTTCAGCAGTGATTGTAGTGAGCAACTTACGCCGTGTGGGTGGTCAGTGTCGATTAATAGTCCCATTTTACAAATTGCCAAAGGTTTTAAATCTCTTTCCTAGATCGCTTTCTAGCAATAAGACCGCCTAAATTGTGCCGTATTGTTTTTTGTTATTGAAGTCGGCTAAATAGTCTCTCCTTCTGGCATAGTCGGGTAAAAAATGAAGACTACGTATTTAAATCATAAGTACACGAATTCCTATCCAATTTTCCATTCCGAAATATTGCATTAAATGAGCTTAGTTCAAAAAGGGCTGATCAAAATTACTGACAACTTTATATCTTATAGTTATGTACTTTTATCCGAACATGACACATGTCAAAATATTGCCAACGGACGCATGAGCTATTGTTTTCGAAGGACCATAATTCAAGCAGGCGCAGCCGAGTTATTCTACCGAGCCATTGACTTAAAATAATGACTCAAAATCTTAAAACAATTGATTGAAAACAATAATAATCACAACACCATGTTAACATGTTGACAAAAAATAAATGCGTATTTCAAGGCAATGCCCAAGATGTTGTTATACCTACGTGCCCTTTGGGCGAATAAGTCAAATAAGGGATTTCCAAAAACAAATGTGAATGCTGAATATTGTCCCTAAAGTACCTATCCTTATTACTAAAGGACAAGTACCTAACCTACTTCTTCTTACGCCTGTAGTAAACACTGAAAGGATGCCCATGTTAATGGTCTGGTTCACCATTGTGTTCTAAAATTCAAGGTTTTATATTATTAAATTGTAGAGGCCAAGAATCGCAACCTTTACAGGCGATTAACCATTGTCGATTATACGAATTTATAGTAGAAAGGACATAGGAGACAATTAGATATTTGAGTCATAACACATAAATACAGGGTGGAGTTTTGTAATGCCATCTGGAGGGAAAGTACCCTTAATACTGTAGATAGAAAATTTTACTCAAAGAAAACATTCCTTTATTTTTGAAAAGAAAGAGAACTGCAATCAAAGATTTTTGATTTTTTTTCGAAAATTTACCACCATACCATACCATACCATACAATTTTCTGTAAATACCTAATTACAATAATTTACGATTTCATGGTTTTTCGTTCATTTGATTTATCAAGTTTGTTTGAGAGATTTCATCCTTATATCTACTTAACCCTAACGATGGATGCAATAAAAATACAGCATGCAATTTTAACATTTTTAGCTGGTTCGATTCCCGGGTGTAGCAAGCAAATTTTTGGAAATCTGAATACAGTTCTATTTAAAAAAAAATAAAGGAATGTTTTCTTAGATTGAAATTTTCTGTGGCATTACAAAATTCCAACCTGTATAATACAAACATGCGAAAAACTAATGACTACCTTACCTATTTTACTCCGTATAATGTAGAGAATAGAGATGTATCCAATAGTGCGCACTTGGATACATTCTAAAATAAAATTATGTATCGATAAAACGATAACCGTGAACCGACCTGTGAAATGAGATAACGCTTGTTGTCGTGATTTCTAATACCTTTGTGAGTCCTAGTACTAGTATAGTGTACTAATGTATCTGTAGTTATTATACTAATATTATAAAGCTAAAGAGTTTGTTTGTTTGGTCAGGGACTACTGATTCGAATTGAAAAAGTCTTTTTTTACTGGATACTTTATCCATGAAACGCTATAGTATATAACGCTACGACCAATAGGAAAGAAGCTTCAATGAAAAATGTTGCAAAAACGACTTTCACGCGTACTAAGTCGCGGGCACAGCTAGAGTAGACAAAGTAACCATTCGTTATTATTGACCGGGACGTGTTCCTTCTCCGGGGAAGTCCCGAGACTTAGCGGTAGGCTGA